ACATAAATATATATATGTATATATATATATACACATATATATACAATACATATATATACACATATATACAATACATATATATACACATATATACAATACATATATATACACATATATACAATACATATATATACACATATATACAATACATATACATATATATATATACTGATATAAAGGATAAACATCAAATAATGTTAAACCAAGAATTTGATTGTTTTTCATTTTCGCATTTTATTTCAGTGTTCCGCCCCCCAAGCTGTCTGCTCAAGAAAATTCCCTGGCCCTTTGACAAATATAGTTGGTGACACCCCCCCGACCAAACTGAAAATTCAACGACAGTGGGTCTACGTCTGGTTCAGTCTGTCCTGGATCAAACGGTCTTTGTGTCGGCTTCACCAACTGCGTTGTGTCTGCAGTGAAAGACCATTTCTCCAGCGTCCAACACTAGATGGTGTTGGACATATGAAACAGATGTACGTCCTTGTGTTTATAACCAAAAAATATAATAAAAAAAAAACTCACGTGTGATGATGTAATCCTGTGTTAGCGTCTCTGCGTGTTTCTCTTTNAGTAACTTTTTTTTTTTTTTTTTACAACAGTCTTCAGCGTAAAAACCGAACACCGATGACTCGTCGAGACACCACGACCGCATCAACGCCCAAAGCAGCTTCACGCACGACTTCACAGACGTCACGAACCACTGAGTTGTATTTGGATTATTTCACAAGACGATAAAACCTGACAATGTTTGGGCTCAGGAGGAGGAGGGAAAAAAAACAAACAAAAAAAAACCATCTGAGTTCTATTTTGTTAGAAAGAGAGGTTGTTATTTGTCACCGTAAGAAATTTGGAAAGAAGAAGAACAACAACAACAACAACAACAACAACAACAACAACAACAACAACAACAACAACACACTTACGTCCAGCAGAATCTAAGTTTTCACCATTTGACGTCTTTGTTGTGACAGTGGAAAAGTCCTGAGACGTACGTACCTGTGGCTTTTGACGGGATCGTAGTAGACCTTGGCCAGACCGTTCCCAGTTCCCACCATTATCTGGTTTAGTTTGGGATGCCACAGGCAGCGGACCACACTCTGGAAAACACACACACACACACACACACAGAAGCATCACAACACGGCCAAGAAAATACTTCACAGCGACTGAATGTTGAGGGAAAAGGAGGTCATGTTTTGAATCAACAACATCAAGACGGGAACGACTTTGGCTTCTGTGGACTGGATCCACTTCACACCACCAGAGGGGTCACTACCAGATTTTATTACGGTGAGTATTGTGTGTGTGTGTGTGTGTGTGTGTGACCCAGGTCGGTGGTTGTAGTCTGAGCGTGCTCCGATGTTCTGGTTGACTATATTTGGTTGTTGGGATCAGGGCTGGATCTCAGTCTGTGTTTGACAGATGGCTGGATGCCAACGGGCGAATGTGAGCACATTCATCCAGTCAGAGGTGAGTGTGTGTGTGTGTGTGTGTGTGTGTGTGTGTGTGTGTGTAAAAGACAGACAGAGAGAGAGAGAGAGAGAGAGAAAGAGACATAGAGAGAGAGTGTGTCATGAAATCACACTCGGTCCAAACTGAAGCCCCTCCGTCGTTTGCTTTCTTTTACTGTCTTCCCAGTTGACACACACACACACACACACACATCTGAGTCACGGCGCTGCATCTTTATGTGGAACAGACGAGGCAGACCGAGGGCAGTGGGTCTGTGTGTGTGTGTGTGGGGGGGTGTGTGTGTGTGGGAATTACTACGACGAGTTCGTTCAGATTCTGTGATGGCAAAAGCAGCTTAACGCCCAGCTGTTCAGCTTCTCTACTACACCACCAGTGAAAGGAGTCTCAATCACACTGACACACACACACACACACACACACACACACACACACGCAAGGGCAAATACTACACCAGTAAGTTCAATATACACACACGTACAGACGGAGTGAGTTTGAAGGGAGGGAAAAAAAACTCTGTTCTCTGTTCTTGACCTGATCAGGTTTGACAAAAGAATAAAAAAAAACGTCGCTGCTGAATCTAATCCACGATTTAGTCTGTGATTTAACATTTTGTTACATCTGGAGGGCAGGTCATCGGTTTGACTCCTGGGACAGACGAGGATTAGTCAGCGTCAGCTCACGGCTCTGTGAGGCTGTATTTAGAGGAACGCTCCGAGGGTTGCTGCGGACAGGAAGTGCTTCAGCCTCTTTAGGAACAAACCTCTCCAGGTGTTCATCAGAGATATTTATACAAACTTAACGTACGAAGTCACGTTAGCGTCTCAGAGTCAACTCTTCAGATTTGATCGCGTCTCTTTGGCGGAGGTGGACGACGTCACGGTCGGTAACCTCCTTCTTTTGAATTCCAAACTGGGCTAACTTTGATGCCACGTCAATAATAACACCGTTTTCAACGCATTATTTGCTTTTTTATGTTGGAAAAACCCAATATATTGTTGTGGCTAAAGTATCGCAATATATCGTGTCACTGACCCCGTATCACAATGCGTATCGTACCGCCATATTCTTGCCAATTCACACCTCAAGAAATTGTAAAAAAAAAAAAAAAAAAATATATATACCGATTGAAATCAACCTGCCTGTAGGTGCCGCTGTGCTGTATTCTCTTTGAATGACAACTTTTAAATGAGCGAATGTGGAACCTGTTCCCGTAGGAAACTCGAAGAACGCGTCAACACGTCCCAGGGCTAATTGACGTCTACACTCCGTGGACGTGCTTCAGCGTTAGACTAATAAATTGTCTCCTGTCAGGGGACAGTCCCCACACGCAGGAGAAGCAGAGACGACAGTTAGGAATCCAGCTGCACTCAACGCACGTCTCGTCAAGGTCCCGGGAATTTCAGCTCAGCGACGCAACGGCCGATGCCTCCAAATCAGACGGTAAAACCAAAATAAAAGTGACGGGAGAGCCAGGTAATTACAGTCAGAGAAACTGCCTCTTCAGACCAAACAAATCATCCTGTCCACAGTGGGACAGACCACGCGGACGGCCGTGAACGCGGCCCACCCCTGCTGGATGCAGCGAGGTGTCCACATCACAGCGCCTTTCGGTCCCGTCCAATCGTGCGTCTGCTTTCCAGATATTCAGAGAAGCCTGTTTATGCTCCAGAAATTCCCCTGTTTACACTTCACGTCCACAAAATTACATCACGGCATGAAGGAGGAAAGTTGACTCCGTCAGTTGTTCGGTAGCAGACGTCCATATTCCGACAAATAAAAATACCAGAAGGCGGAGGGAAAAAAACCAAACAGACTGAGGCCACTGCTGGATACGACCTACCATTTTTGTCAAATAAAGTCATGTGGTTAAAGCTGAAGATTCAACAATGGATTAGAACAGTGGTTCTTAAACTGCGGTCCGTGTACCACCAGTGGTACGCGGGGAAAAATTCACATTTTCAATTGAATAAATCTGAAACATACAATGCAGAATTAATACAACATTTAGAAAGAAAAACGTGTAGCTACTTGAGAGGTTGTGAGGCTAACGCTGCTGTATTCTAATGTTGGTCTTCATGGTCAGAGAGATCCATGTTTTCTCAGGTGGTTCAGAGTAGAAAAGGTTTGAGAACCACTGGATGGAACCTCAAGACACATTTAAAATTTCCTAGAAACAAAGGCAATTTGGTAAATAAATAAATAAAGTACATTTTATTGATCCAGAGCAATGATGGTCTTCAGGATATCTGGAGAGATAACTGAAGATTAGGCTCCATCCCAGACAACAAGGAAGAGCTTAAAGGATTAGCCAAAGAAAAATGGAAACGCGGCCTGACATGACAGCAGCCTGGAACTGGGACAACACAGCCATGAGCCGGGAACGGACTGGAATCTAACTGGAACTAAATACTATAATACAAGTAAAACTTATAATAAAAGTAAAACTAGTCAACACCAGGGTCAAACATGGTACTGTTACTGTGCTGTTTGAATCGGTTCCAGTGATATTTCAATGGTAGGAAAAGCGTCTACTACTGTATGTCCCAGAACTAATTATTATGACATTGGTTGGAGAAATGTCGTGGGATCGACCTTTCAAGTCTATAAAATATTTGCAGATATTCTGGCCGCAGGACAAATGAAGAAATTCTCATAATTAATCTTTTTTTTTTTCAACTCCACACAGACATCACAGAAGGCATGAGATCAACAAAGTTCCTGAGGCATCTGTTTGGACTCCAGCCAACGGTTCAGAGCTTTAACAGTCAGGGGTGGGGGGGATGGGGGGGGTCCGGGGTCGGGGGGGTTCACCTGGTCTCTGACTCTTTTGATGCACAGAGATAAGCTGAGGAGTATTTGAAGTTTTTACCACAGGGTATAAAACCGTCTCTGCTGCTACAGACTACAGAACAACCCAGGAGTCCAGGTCTGGGTCCAGGTCTGGGTCCAGGTCCGGGTCTGGGTCCAGGTCTGGGTCTGGGTCCAGGTCTGGGTCTGGGTCTGTGCAGACTGTTTAGTTACAGATGATTGGTGGTCCGTCCTTTCACTGGCCCGCCTGCCACGACACTTTATAAAGACTGCACTTAAATTCTTGGGCCATCTGAGCGGCAGGTGGCTGGTGTAAACACCGTCAGCAGCACATTCGTCAGGGTCACCGGGTGCACCAGGACCACAGACCCACCACCGGCATCGGAACTATTTTAGAAAGTTGAAGAAAAAGTATCCTTGTTTGTTTTGACAAAGGTGTAACACAGTGGTTGTTATGTTATGTACGAAGGATGAAAACTAAGAGTTTAGATTCAGAAACTGAAAACGACTGATATGAACAGGACTGAACTCACTGCAGCCACACATCGTCACAGATGAAGTTAGTAGTCTCTAACTTGGTAGAGTTGACTAGGTCAGTGGTCCTCTACCTGTTTTGTACCAATGACAGTTGGTACCAGCCGGAACTGTGGACCAGTAATACCACACCATCGTTGAAGGATCATTACATTTTCCAAATCAAACCTCCTTCAGACTTTCTTCTGTCAGTATCAGAGTCTGAATGACCTTTGACCTGTTGTTCTGAAACATTGACAGATTATCTTTGAGTGAAAACAGTAAAGGGATATGACTGGATTATTCTGGAATGAAGTAGTAAAGTAGTAAAACTGAAGTCGTTTTTTTCCCCACTGTGTCCGACTGTGGACCGGTATCAAATGACTTATGGTCCTGCAGCGGTCCCTGGACCGGAGGTTGAGGACACCTGGACTATGGGAACCTGTTTTAAGCTTACCCATGAAAATAACCTCAGGAGGAAGACGTAGAAATACATAAGGAATTGGACTAGAAATATATATATATAAAAAAAATCCAAGATTCCAAGAAAGTTAGTAAGGAATTGGACTAGAAATATATATATAAAAAAATTCCAAGATTCCAAGAAAGGTTTCTGCTCTGAAGGAAAACTGTTCTACCACTGGGCTCAAAAACCTGGACCACAGGGTCAAAACAGTCACGTCGAGACCTCCCTACATGTCCCCTCACATACTTTTCCAAAATTTCATTAACTTCATCCCAAAATGTCAAAACCATTTCACAGCATTCTCACAAAACGTCTGTGACATCGACAACTGACGACCACGAAGAACGTCCTTAACGATGGCTCTACGATTTCCATCCAACATTCCGTGTGTTTCCATCAACTCTGACGCTTTATTTCAGTGCCAAACTAACACAACACATTGTTGCAAAAAAAACAACACTGAACAAAAATAATTGCCCATCAGACGATGTAATGGATGTGGCGGTAGGAACGTGAACAAATATGTGAACCGTTGACATCGGTCGGGGGCGGAACACGCCAAAATGAAGTACTTTAATGACGACCATATAAAAGTTGATGGTTTGGTTTATTCAACACATCAACCGTTGCCACAGACATTGGCAGCTTGTGTCGTTCTCCAGATTGGCTTCATTTAGTTTCAGGACTGGTTCAGATACTGTTGGAGAATCTGTAGGATCAGAAATGTTGGGTGAACGGTTCACACTGGGACAGATGAAAAAAAAACAAGTGAAAGGCCAATGGAGAAAAAAAACACTTTCAAATGTTTACCGCTCGTCATTACAGTGAAGGAGAAGACAAACGTCCACAGGCTGATGTATAGGAGGAGGAAGAGGAGGAGGAGGAAGAGGAAGAGGAAGAGTGTTGTCAAGTTCTTAACACAATCTTTGACCTGAAGTGTCTGGGGAGAGTGTCTCTGTCTCTCTCTCTGATGCCGGCGGTGGCTGTTTCTGAGTGACACGCTCGGTGATGAACTCCCTAAAGTCAAGAGCACTTCAACCTCAGAGCCACTGTTTACTGTTCAGCTCTTTCATAATTTAATGTGGTTTAACTTTGGGGAAACGTACAGACTAACAGCAGCCACGACCTCGCGGTGACACCGACACTGTTTCCTCAGAGAAGATCGAGCGTGTACGCCGTCAACTCAACCACAGGGACAGGAAAGGCTGGTGACCTTTGACCCCTGGATGTAAAGGGTTACATGTAAACCTCGATGTATACATGTTTTAACAGTAAAGTGTTAAACAATGTTCAACCTTTTTGAATCTCTGAGAGGTTTTAGATACAGTATCGTCTTGGCTAACTATTAGCTGTAAACTAACTATTGTCAACATTCAACTTTTTCTGTTATCTTCTGATAAATCTAATATTTTTATCAATGTTATGGTATTTTTGTAAGTTAAAAAAACTTCCGGTATATCGTCAAAATTAGCTGGGTTTTTCATCATTTAGTTTTTGGCGGAAAATGTTGAGCTAACTTGCTAGCTATCCTTTGGCAAAAGTCACAACTAGATTTTGGGGTAGATTTTGATAACTTGTAGGATATGAAAGTTTATGTCTAATATAATTTTTTTATTATATTGTTTTGCACTAATACTTAGCTGTTTTGGGGGATTATTGTTAATTCTGTTTTTGTTACTTTATTTATTATGTGACTTAAACCAACACTGTTAAAAATGAGAAAAGGAAGAGAAAAATGTACTGTGTTGCATGTTGTGGACTCCATACCATGAACTCCTAGTTATTCTAAAAACAACAACAGCTTATTTCCAGGTAAACGGCAATCCTGAAACACAGCGCTGTGAACCCTGAAATTCAAAGTGTGGCATCTGAAAATCTAAACTGGAATTCGAGATCTCAGCAAATGACACTGTGTTTGAAAAACACCAGAGCCAAAACAACATTCTAATTACATTTGCACTGAGATAAAATGGGTGAGTGAACATGCAGCCTGCTCTCTACCCATAAGCTGGAACAACTGTTGCAGGAACTCAGCTCGGACTCTTTGCCAAGGTTTTGCAGGCACACGGCAGCTGGTTGGCAGATCACGATCCGGATACACAAACCCAGCTTTTGTCTCGTTTCTCCCTGTCATTCCCCCGGCCAAACATTTCCACTCAGTGCCTCTAGTGAAACCGTCGTGCCCTAGCTTGAAGCCATTAGCCCGAGTCGCTGTAATGACTACGGAAAGACTAGCACTAAATCTGATAAATAAAAAGAAAAGGTTTGGACAAGAGACGAGTCTGAAGACCGCAGCTCGGTGCTGCCTTTCATTACCCACAACGAGGAAAGATCACATTACTTTCTAATAGTTGGTCTTAAATCATCATTTTTCAAATCTGCTCTCTGCCTTCACCGCCCCGGTCCAAGACTTTCATCATCGTCCGCTGCGTTTAACTCTAAAACAATGCTTTTGTTTATTTTTCCTCCAAGATCAATATTGCTAAAATATGTATTTCTGCTCTGTTGCTAGGACGCCGCCATCTTCAGAGGAACGGATTTAAAAGAATAAAAACGTCAAATAACACAACCTAATATAAACCAAAATAAAATTTTCAATAATGGAAAGAAAAACAAATATTTCAATATCTGTGATCTGGTTCCAATGTTAATACAATTTAAATGACTTTGGTTGGACACGACTTCAGATGGACACATTATAATGATATAATATATAGATATATATGAGAATGTACATATATATCTATATACATACATATATACACACACATATATACATAGGTATATATAGATATATACACATTTACATATACACACATACATATATACATACATATATACTGTAGGTATATATATATACATATATACACATATATACATACATATATACTGTAGGTATATATACATATATACACACGTATATAGACATATATACACGTATATAGACATATATACACATATACATATATAGACATATATACATACTGTATATACACATATATACATACATATATACTGTAGGTATATATACATATATACACACGTATATAGACATATATACACGTATATAGACATAGACATATATACATATATATATGTGTATCTATGTGTATATATATATATATATATACACATAGATACACATATATATATGTATACATAGATACACATATACATACACACACACACTACATTTTAACATGACTTACTGCGTTGGTGACCTCTATTTCATAGACCTTCTCAAAGGAGGCTCGGTCGAAGAAGACCAGTTTTCCATTCCCCTGCTCTCTTTTCACCGACGTCCCAGTGACCAGAAGCTTGTCGTCTGGGCTGAAGCAACATTCCGTCCTAATTGCCAAACATCAACAGTGTCAGTGGATGAAATGCAAAACCAGCAGCATAAAAAAAACAGGTTTAAACACTTCTGTCGCTCACATGGCAAAGTAGTTGGTTAATCCAGCGGCCTCGTTCACTGGCTTCCTGAAGTTCCGTATGTCCCAAATCTTCAGAGTGTCGTCACCTAGAAATATGTGAGTTTTGTACATCAAATGCTACAGACACATAAAATTACCCACCAGCCACGACAACGTAATTGGAATTCATCTACAAATCAGTTTCATCTAAATCATATGTGTCAAACTCAAGGCCCGGGGGCCAAATGCAGCCCGCCAAACCGTTTTGTGTGGCCCGCAGGAGCTATACCAGTGGTCCCCAATCTTTTGGGGAGCAAGTACTACTTGTTACTACAGAGCAGTACCAAGGTGCTGAGCATTTAAGGATCATTACATTTAAATTAAAACATATTTTAGACTCTGTTCTGTTTGTATCAAGAGTCTGAATGACCTGTTATTTTAAAATATTGACAGAATATCTTTAAAAAACTACATCTTTAAATAGATTTTTTCACTGTGGCCTGGTACCAACTGACCTATGGACTGGGACTTGTCCACGGACCGGGGGTTGGGGACCCCGATCTAAATAATCTAAAGTCTTTTTTTTGTTCAAAGTCCATACCAAATCACAAAGTTTAGTTGTAATGCACCTTTAGAAAGCCAATCACAGCCTCTACAAAAAGCATGCGTGCGTGTGTGTGTGTGTGTGTGTGTGAGTGTGTGTTTATCCTGCAGTTAAAAACTACTTGACTAGTTTTTAAATAACAGTGAAAACAGACGCGCTCTTCTGAAGAGCTGGTCCAGATTAAAATCTAAATCTAATAAAGACTCGAGGCTCGACCGGACGGTGATTCAAACCACCAGGGCACGGCGCTGCGTCTTACCCCCCCGTGAAGCCAGAGTCGTGCCGTCGTAGGAGAAGGAGATACAGGAAGGGTCGGATCCTGGACTGTGGGCTTGTCGACAGTGGAACTTTGTGTGCACCTGAAGGGGAACGAGAAAAATGAAGGTTGACGACACTCTGTGTCCAAAGGCTGGGACGTTGAGTTTGGGGGATTTTTTACATAAACTTCATGTGACATAGAAACACAGAGTAAGAGAGACTGGAACAGATGTGCACAGGAAACGGACAGGAACGCAGCAGCATAAGAGATTACAAACACGGAGAAAAATGTTCTTTTAATAACGGCTGTTAGCTGTTATTAGACTGTTATGTCTCTTTTATCTGTGATCCCTCTCTCGCTGAACAAACAGCAGCTACTATTATTAATTACAAACGCCGCAGAGAAAGTCTACAACGACTAGGATGATTTGTGACTCAGTCATGTTTTACATCACCAGTAGAAATCATGGTTCGTTTGTCCGCTAAGAAAAAAAAAAAAAAAGCATCTGTAACTTCATCAAAACAACATTTTTCATTAACATCTCCCAAAATGTAAAAAAAAAAGAAGAAGAAGAAGAAAAAAAAGGCATCAGTATGTATCCGAGAAGTTAACCTTTCCATCTGGTGTTTGGATTTTCCTTCGTTGGTACCATAAATAGTCCGGTCATTTCCCTGCTGCACGGACAATTTTACCGGACAAAAACAATCAGAGCAGACGGATCTAACTTTAGATTTCCATTTTACCAAATCCTTTTTTTTCTTTTCTTTTTTCTTAATCTCAAACAAGCGCTGAAGTCACAGTCACAAGTCTCAGTCTGTAACGACAGCTCTTGTCAAAAGTGTTGCTTGAGAACGTCGACAACTAACAGTTACAAATATGGACCACCAGGGTCACAAAGAGGTTTATTTTTGGATTATTTTTTAGAGGAGACATGAACAATTACTCTCTCTTCTTCTTCAAAGAGATTTTAAAGATTGAACAAAAGGCCAGTGGAGCTGGAAGTGTGTTTTCTGGACTTTTACTCCAGTGTTTGTCACAGACAGGCTGAATGCAGGCAGAAAACTATTGCAGGGGTTCCCAAACCCTGGTCTGCGGACTGGTACCGGTCTATGGGTCATTCGGTACCAGGCTGCAGGGGTTCACAGTGGAAGGATTAATACGTTATTTCATTACTTCATCCAGCAATTTTTGTAAATAAATAAATAAATCTCACAGACTCTGATACTCTGACGTTTTATTTTGAAAATGTCATGATCCTAAAGCATCATTTAACGCCACCAATCCTTGGTGTGAAAAAGGCTGAGTGGCCACTGCTCTACTGTGTCAGAGCAGAAAAACACTTCACTGATGACAGGCCTGCAAAAGACTATTTAACAAAAGTGATTTAAAAAAAAAAAAAAATCGACCTTACAGTGATGATTTTTATTTTCCTGACGAGATAAAACTCGGCTCGTTTCCTCAGCACTCATCGCTCACAGTGAGTGTGGAGCAACAGAACTACGGAGATACCGATTGTGCCAGGTCTGCACTGTCTCTGGACGGGAACTGCCCCAGCTCATCACTCTGCCCTCACACACATCGTTTCCTCCAGCGGTCTTTAAATGAATGAATGAGAAATCAATAGAACGGAACTGCGTGTGTGCAAAAGCAAATGGGCTCATTAAAGAATGACCAGAGTCAGGATTTATGTCAGGCTTTTAAAAAAGAAGAAATCTGAAAGTTGCGAGCAACAGCCTGAATCCAAACTGCAACGCAACTGTTTATAAAGCATTTGTCATGGCTTTGATGTGGTTCAGAACTTCCAACATCCCTTCACTAAAATCTTGAAATGATGTTTTTTTTTTCTTGAGCCCCAAAAAAGAGGCCTTTTTTCCAAACTCCCTTTTTAACATTTTTTTTTTCTTGAACTCACCGAGTTTGAGTTGCCGCTGATTAATTTTCCGTGCGTTTCAACAATAACTAATCATTTTAGCCCTCATTTAAAGTCTGCTCTTGTGTAAATTCTCACGACTCCTCCGTACCTGTGTGGATCTGGACTCCTCAGTTCTATCCGGGCCTGGGTACGGACCGGGTTACGGGGAGGGATCGTTACTGGACGCTGCTGAAGCAACAGTCTGAGAAGCGGGCTGGCTAACGCTCAAACAAACATAACCTCGGTTTATACGGCTACGTTTTCATTAATTCTCAACGGAGCGCAAATAAATCACTGAAAAGGCGGAATTGCAGCAACGCGGGCTTCGTCCCAGGAAAGGAGGATAAGGGAAGAAGAAAAAGAGAGAGAGAGCACACAGCGTGAAAGGCAGATAAGATAGAGGGGCAGAAAAGAAAAGGGGGGGGGGGGAGGAGGAGGGGTGAGGTGAATGAGTGATGGAAGGAAACCAGGCCATACTTCACTTACAAAGTAATGGAGGAAAGTTATTAAGTGGAGGCGTTAAAAGATAACACCGTTAGCTCCTCGGGGGGGTTTCATCTTCTCTCGCTCTGTTCTTTCTTTTCAACTACGTCAGCATTTTATTCTCGTACAGGTTCATCTTTTCTTTTTTACTTTTTTTTCTTTTTTTAATCTCAGATTACCTCTAATGTACACATTCATTGGCTGTTCCCGTTCAAAAGGTCAAAAGGTCGGTCTTAGTGTTGAAAAAACTCTTCAATGTTTTCTAATACAAGCCTGAAAGGTTGGGGTCATAGGTCAGGTCTTAAATAAAAATGAGCTAAATTATATTACATGAGGCCTGGTCTCTGTGACACAAAGATCAAAGTCGTGTCAGTGTAGAGCAGCGAATCCTAAACTTTGTGGCCACACCCCCAATTCTACACAACGTTGAGAGAAAAAAAAAAAATTCTACAAGTTTTCTAATAAAAGCAGCATTTTTTCATACATATATAACCTGCATGTATTCATTAATGTCAGATTTAAATGAGTACAAAGGAAATGTTTTTATTTTTGTGAAAAACCAAATAAAAAAAGAAAAACGATCCAAACCACCATCACATCTTTAACCTTGCGTACCTCAAGGGGTGCCTGCACCACACTTTGAGAATCCCTGGAGTAGAGTGACAGAGTAAAGGGAAGGTCTACATTCTGTGATAAGACAATTCCTGCCCCACAAAAAATTGATCGATACAACTCTTTCACATCCGACAGATACCAACTCTTTCACGTCCGACACAGATACCGATACCGCAACTTGGAACGATACCGATATCAATCCAAAACCGTCTTTTCTCCTCTGGCTGCCGTTGTTGAGGTGGTAATACCCTGTTTATGGCATGTTGAACATTTGGGCGTAGGTATTGGATCGGACTAGCTACGATGCGATCCTGAAATTTTGACCGATATTGGACCGACGCAGAGTATCGGATTGTGGCATCCCTAACCAATACCAGTATTACTTTTCGGTACTTGTTGTTGGGATTAACGACAGCAACAAAGGAAAAGCTAATGATCGCTTGTGTAAGAAGTCATTCCTCATTACTGTACAGACAATTCAAACCATAAAAAGGGATTTATCAGACAAGAAAACTACGAAGTTCGGAGAACCTAACATGTTTAAAAACATATTTCTAACCCCACTGAGGGGTTTCCTCAGGTCAGCTGGTGAGAAACGTTATGAGCTTTAGCTCCGTGCCTATGAATCACTCCACATAGTTTTCCCTCTCTTTCCATATGATGTCTTCATGTGTAAGATTAAGACCATCTGCTGCCTGCACACGGCATTTTTAACCCTTTTCATGTAGTAATGTTGTGTAAGACTGCACCGCCTCCAATCACTGACTGTTTGCACTAAAGATAAATGTTTCCTGCTTTTACGTCATGTTTGAGAACACAGCCTGGCCAGAGATAAACAGGTGGAGGGAAAAAAAAAAAACAAAAAAAAAAACCAAGCCCTGCTAATGTAAAAAAACCCAAAACACCCCCCCTAAAAAATATATAAATATATATATTTTTTTTTTTTTTAAATTTGAGCAGTGCTTGTTTATATATATATACGTATGTGTGTATATATACATATTTACATATACATACAAATATGCATATACATACATATATAAATATCTGTATATATAAATATATATATCATATACACATATATACATACATATCCATATACACATATGTATGTATATATAGATACATATAAATGTATATGTGTGTGTGTATATATATGTGTGTGTGTGTGTGTGTATATATGTATACTCCGTTACTGTGTGTGTATGTGTATATATATGTATACTGCGTTAGAAGCCTGAAACCATGTTCCAAATTCTAAAGTTTTAAAAGGTTGTAAAATGAATGACGATAAAATCTAGCAAAAGAACAAAGAAATGCTGCAACACTGTAGAATCTGAAGTTAGCGTCGTCTGATCCCACCTCCCCCCTGCTGTTTCCTCACCTCTGCTGGGGGAGGGTGCCGTGCTCATTATGTAAACATGACATGTCATGACATCATAACACAGAGCGTACACTGACGAGGAAAACGCTGGGCATCGACAACAGAGCCATCCCCAAAATGAAGCCAACTTCAACTTTAAACCATAAGGCGTGGTCGACTTGTCGACAAAGATAACCTAAAATGTTGTTTATTGATTTGATGGCCAAGCGCCACCTAGTGAGCTGAGACACTGGGGTGTTTATTCTTTAGGGGAAAGGGCAGACCAGTAGTAACGCTGGGGTAGAGACGTAGACGTAACGGTAAGACGTCTGCCCCAGTTCTGAAGCAGTGGGGGGCAATAGTTAAGGAGCACACACACACACACGCACACACACACACACACACACACACACACAGACACAACTGCGCAAATCCATATCGTAACAGGGAAAGATCAGCTACTAAGGTCAAGTCACTGGGTAAGGGTGGGGTTAAGAACAGAACAGTTGTTGCCATGGCAACAAATAGACAAACAACCATTTACACATTGTGTACAAAAATGGAAAATTACTCAACCTGTATGTTTCTGGACAACAAGAGTGCCAACCCTGAACAGCAAGCAGGTCAACCACTGAACCACCGTGTGGCCCTTGATGGTAACATATTTACGTCTGGCTCAAATTTCTAGGACAGGGGTCAACAACAACCTTCTCAAAACTCAGAGCTACTTCAAGAAAAATATGGGTCCCCAGAAAAAAAAGAAGTTTGGGAAACACTGACTCAGTAAACCAAAAAACTACTTCCTGAGCAATGCCATAATAATCAGTTCTGTGACAGACATAGATTTGAATATCACTGCGAGTGGAACCGATTCAAACAGCACAGTAACAGTACCATTCTTCACACTCTTGTTGACTAGGTTTATTTTTTTTTAGAACATACCCCGTGGGCACCATTGGCAGTCCGCGGGGGCTACCAGGTGACCCCGTGGGCACCACGTTGGTGACCCCTGTTCTAATTGAAATTTTAGCCTCGCACAAAAAACCCCACAATAAACCAAAACATTTGGTTTCGTTATTCCACGACATCAATTAATCTGTTATGAAAATTGTAAACTGCTGCTGTTATGGCCGTGCTTGATTACATGTTAGGAATGAGGGGGGGGGTCGGGGGTGTGTTCACCGTGAACACACACACCCAGCACAGTTATTTCTAGAACATATGCTGCTGTTGTGAAAGCCTGACTGTTTGTTTACTATCCTGATGTTGGCCGGCGTTGGCAGATGCCACGGCGTTTGCTTCCTGTGATAATCTACGCGGCGCGTCTTTGAAATCGGACCCTCGGAGACTGGGTTTGAATGTTTTTCTCACGCCTTGTGACATCCTCCCCGAGCTATGCCCCGTGCACAGGCCAAGAACATTCTCTATAAAGTGTTTTAATTTAATCACCACGGTGTCAGTGCGGGTTTGAAGCGAACGGGACCTCCGACGGTTATGAATTATTATTATTATTATTATGATTATAACGCTCGTATAAATGATTTCGCGCAGAAAGTTGTTTCCTAAATTATTGGAATAAAGTAAATAAAATAAAACACCAGAAATATTTATATTAGAGATGCTCGGCTCCCAACGCAGACCGCTGTGTGTGTGTGTGTGTGTGTGTGTCTACATAGAACCCGCGTGCAGAGCTGAAGGAACACAGCATTGGGTTTCATGCTCAGCAGACTATGAGAGCAATCTACCGCAGGAACAACTGTTGCTGACCACACCGAGGGTCGCTATATAAATACCGGCTCTGCATGTCTCCTACCTGCATATCTAAACGACGGGTCACCTGAAAGACGCAACCATGCCCACTCTGAGGTCAGCGGTATATCTCGCTTTAACCTCGCTGACTTTCTGAGAATGGTGTGTTCGAAACCGCAGGCTCGGAGCAGCTGCTCTGATCTTTCATGGAAATCAACAAGTGGCGATTGGGATGTAAAGCCGCGTGTGTTAGAGGATCACTTTCAGATCGAGGGTGCAGATAATACAATGGTGGGGGGGGGGGGGGGTGAAGGGGGAGGGATTCTCTAACATTTTGGTTTGTAGTTGGATAAATGTAGAGAAAGAACAGGTGAAACAGTAACAAAAGAAAACCTCTTCTGTGTGGATCCACTACTGGTGTCGACATCTTGTTTCAGGGCTTATTAATAATCTATTTAGTCTTTTAATAGGAGAGTTTCCCTTCAGAATACCAGTGTGTACGTTATCAGACCATCGACATCTTTCTAAATAATTTGGAATTACCACGAAGGAAGTGGTTGAGACTGAGGATAAACAGAATCATATCATCGTTTGTTTGTTTTTTCTGTGGTGGATGTAAATGATAGAATTAAAAATTGGACTGAAGAGGTGACGATGAGATGAGAGATCAAGGCGGTGTGCGCTGAAATCGTACTACAGTAAAAAAACCCTGACACTTTATGAAAACCAGAACAGACTGGATGAAAGAAACCGATTATTAATCGTCGACCAGTTTCGGAGCCAGAACTACTTGAAAACTCACGAGTATCAGGATTTATTACATTGATAAAGTGAAAGTATGGATGAAAACAACCTCCGCGGCGCGGCTTATCAAAACCACTTCTTCTAACTTTGAAGTCTGAAAAAACATCCACCAATGACATCACTGCATTCCTCGGACCTCTGTGTTCCAGTAATGTTCTGGAATGAAGACCTGTGCCTTTAGCGTACATGCAGTCTGGTAATTCTGGCAGTGACCCCTGTGGTCAGAGGAAGAACACGCAATCACTCTACGGCACCGCCGTCTGAGGGAGACCTGTTTGACTCTCTTCCGTGGATCAATCAGGCTATGTCAGCGTACGAGAACCTGACGTGTCAGACTCAATAGCTCCTCTTCAGGTTGAGCGCCAGATCACGGTCAAATACGTGATTGATGGTGATTGATCTGCGCGCATATTCCAACCATGAGTAATGGCTGCCGTACCGCGGCCATAGTTCTGAGTCGGGGAAGGGAGCTGCCGTGAAAGGTCAACTTCTTTTTACGGTAGTAGCTGAATTGGAGTCAGCAGCGCGGGTCGCTGATTAAGGCCGAGGGCACTGACAACATTTCTGAAACATTCTGACAAGCTCCCCGGCTCCAGGGCGGGGTGAGGGGGGGGGGCGGCAGACACAGCTATTATGAGATGCTATAGGATGTAGGGTAAATATTTAGTTTGGAGAAGGAGGAGGTGATAAATCTGAAGAGCTCATTCATGACTCACTCACCGGGGGGAGGGAAATACGAGAGGGAAGAGACGAGAAAAAAAAAAGTTTTAATACCTGCACTGCAGGTATAAAATTCCTAAATTTGGAAACATTAAAATAATCAAGATATAGACATAAGAATAAAAATACAAACTAAATTTAACGAAAAGATTATTTCAATGACAAAAATGTACCAGCTGTTTTAAAGAGTGTGGTAAAGTTGGGTCAAGAGAAGAACAGAAAAGTCTGTCAGAGTGCAGCACCACTGTTGTATCTACAAACTCCAATCAAAAGATTGACTTTGTTGTTTACATTCTGATGCTAAGAAAGATTTTACAGCTTTGTTTTTATTTTGTAGCTCAAAAACAAAGGCAGCATTTAGAGTCTGTCGACTGTTGGTCCCCTAATCAACGTCAAATGCTGTCGTCTTTATCTGTAAACTCTAGGACTGTAATCAACCAGAGAGAGACTTGGTCGACCGACAACCTGAAATTCCGACCCAAACTCGACTTATCACTGCGGATTGAAATGAAATGAAACACATTTGCTGACGAGGAGCTCTTCGTAATCACAAAGGAAGAACGGTAGAAACGCTGCGTGTGGTTGAGCATCAGTAAAACGACTGAGTGACAGTGACTGTTACTGTGACTCCCATCACAAAGTCAAGACCAGGGAGACAGACATCAATGATGGGACACTTCAACTTCAGGACAACCATGTGGTAGAAACTGCGTTTTTCCCCACTGTCTGTGAGTGGTTTTTAAACAGACATTAGTGTGATAACAGAGAAGAGAAAAGAGAGAAAAAAAAAAGGAAATGTTTCCCAGGAGCCAAGATCAACTGTTAACTCCACCACGTCATTTGATCACCGCTTTTTTCCACATTAACTAACAGTGGAAAAATCGTGCTTGTTGTCCCAGCAACTACTAGGTAACTCAATCATCACATAACAGTTAGTACTGTCGTGCTCGTGGCTAAAGGAGGGAACTTTTTTAGGTTTTTTGAGATGTTAAAGAGTTAATTTTGGTTAATTTAATTAAAGATGAATTTAATGAGGCAGTGGTACAAGAGACGGTGCATTCACTGTCCATATTATCAGATGTCAACAATCAAAATCAGTGTGTACATTTACAAAAACTAGGAATTAGACTTGGAATATTGGTACGTTATAATAAAATTAAATTGGTAAAAGATGAAAAAAATCTAATAGAACAAGATTTACATTGTCTCAATTTTTAGAACATATTATTGTCTGAAACTCCAGTCTCCCTGGTCATGTGATCTCCTACTCCTGGCACAGCCATTAGCATATAAGCTAAAACAGCTAACTGTAGTAGGAGTATCTTGTATATGGCCTTAAAGAGCAAAAAAAGATAAATATTGCAAATTAAATTCTTTTTCTAAATGAGCTGATGTTTAACTTTGGTCTCTAAACTTTAGATAACGCAGCGTTGAAAAGATTCTCCAACCTTTTAAAAAAATAAAAAATTTAAAAAAATAAACATTTGCAATTAGACAAGTTTCATATAAATATTCACCCTCTGTTTGGACCAAAGCATTTTTCAAATTCTGGTCAGTGTGAGAGACTTGTCGACCTTTGACCTCTCCGGCCTGTGACCAGATGACCTGACTCTCAGGACCGCTGTAGTCAAGGCCAGAGCAAATCCTCTGTTTACATCCACATTGTGCTGGTGTGTGTGTGTGTGTGTGTGTGTTATAAGACTCACGCTGAGGTTTCTGTCCCAGATCTGGATGGTGCCGTCGTTACAGCCGGCGGCGATCAGCTTCCCGTCACGGCTGTAGGTGCAACACGTGGGGATGACCTTCTTCCCCTGATAAGAGCGGGGCTTGAACACGGACTTGTGCTTCTTCTCTGACTTCACGTCCCACGTGCGGACGGTGCTGTGAACACGGACACAAAGTGTGACTTCAGACAGCGGCCCTGAATCAGTCATGACAACATCTGTCAGTCCAAACACATACAGTCATTAACACCATGTGATACAGTGAAGCCCAGTCATGTTCACCTCATATGAACATGAGGGTAGAAGACTGTGTGTGGCAGGGTGTGTGGGGGGGTCAGGGAGGGGGGGGGGGTCAAGGGAGGACAGTAGATCAGTCTGACAGCCATATCTGAAGCACCCATGAAATTCTGATTCTCTCATACATCTGCTGAACACATTACAGAACCTGGAAGACTTTGAAGACCAGAAGTCCTGGTTACTTTACTTTGTAGGAATCCTTTGCTGCTACAACAAGAAAAACTTTTTTTCACAGGTTCAGGTCTGTGATTTAAAAAGCAACAACACTGACTGTTGATTGGAGGTTTTACCCCAGTGTTTCCGAAACGTTTTTGAAAGACTACATTTTATAACTTTAGAAAAATCATACGACACACCACTATTTAAAATATTTTGCAAAAAATTAACTGTAATGAAATAAAACGATCTTCCCTTTTCAATTTACTCACAGCCGACTCAACATTAACCTCCGACACAATCCTTGACATATTCGCAGGAATTGAAGAAAGACACGCAAGAGGATCTTCATCAGCTCAGAGTCTCGCTCTCTTTTCCCCCCAGTTTTATTGCCATCTGCTGGGCATTTAATTGTTCTGCCTCTTACGTTTACATAGACAAAAATATTTGCATTGAAATAATAATTATGTTTTCAGACAAACATTTTCCGCCGCACACCTGATGATGCCTCACAGCAGACTGGTGTGTCACAGCACAGTGGTTAGAAATCGCTGTTTCAGGCTATGACTGAAATGGTCTGGAATGAATAACACCGTTATACAGTACAGTTGCCAACACATTCACATGTGACAAGAAGGGTATGATGAGGTCATCGGTGGCAACGATGAGTCTCACCGACTCATCGTTGGTCCTTGGATGTGGGGAGTTTAAGTGGAACTGTTTTTCGTGGGGAACGGAATCCGTCATAAACCTAAAGGATGTCGTTGAAATGCACTGGTTATAAGTATTGGGGGGTGTTACTGTGAGATGGACACATTATTGTTAGTAAAAAATGTAAGAAATTATTGTATTAAAGAGCGCTATTTGAAGATTGTGTCAAGAATATATTTATACTGTTTGTATTATTACTAGCGTACACACTCTACTACCACCACGAAGTACTTAGAAGACACATCTTTGTACTTGCTAAATTTTGAGAAAAAAAAAAAAAAAACACAACTCAAACTCTCAACATTCATACCAGACAGAATGTGTCCAAATGTGTCTCCTGACCCGCAGCTCGCGTTCCGTGATCATCGTGGCCTTTGGGGTCACGAGGTCAGCGGAGGAGTATAAACACACGGGCAGGGCTGCTACTAACAGCCAGGCAAAGATTCCTCTGTGGCGGGATACAAAGTCACACAGACGCACACACACACTCAACTGTGTTTGGATAAGTCCAACATTGTGATACAAATGCCAACTGAAGACATATGGTTTAAGTGAGAGCTGGCAGGGGTCAAATAAAACCCTGCAGGCAGAGTTTGGTGTAAATCCACATAAATCAAAGTTCCTCTTATGTTTAAAAAAAAAAGAAAAACTCAAATAAGGTGCAGAAAAGCTTCACGTCAAAGAGGTTTTCCTGGTTCAGAAACGAAGGCTTCCACAGCATACAGTGGAGTTGAACCGAGCAGATGTGTGTGTGTGTGTGTGTGAGAGAGAGTGAATGGGACATGACGGCGTCCACACTGAATGACAAATTGGTCCACCTGCCGCCTCACACACAGACAGCTCTATTTTGTTTACAGAGGACCGGCGTAGGCGTCTGTCAGGTCAATAAAGACAACATAACCTTTCACGTCGCACACAAAAACTGGAATGCTATTTATCCTGAGCGTTCTTTTCCAAAACACGGCACGGCTCGCTGTCAGAGGGATAAAGCTGAAAGGATGGAGACCGTCACCAACGGAGCAGCCTTCACTGTCAGAGCATGAAGGGTGGGGGTGAGAAGGGGGGGCAAAGGGGGCAAACGGGGTTTTGTCGCCAATACCAAATATTAGTTCCGATACTTCATTGGGTTTCAGAGTCAACAAAATGTTTAAAAAATATTTTAAAAAAATCAAACTTTCGGAGTAGTTAACGCAGCAAACTGAACAGAGAGTATAAAGTTCAGCTAGATTGCTAACATTGCTAACGTACGTACGAACTTAAAAATATCGGCTTGCTAGCTTAGCACAGTTTTGGTAATACTGCGTTGTTACTTTCAACAAAGATCGTTCCCAGGAGTGATTAACCGGTCAATTATTTTTCCATTAATTGATCCATTAATCGTCTGTTTGTCCAACTGGGGAAAAACTGTCAATTCGTAGCTAAATTTTAGGTTAGAAATCAAATGGTCAACATCTTCTGGAACTCTTGGATTTAATTTCTTGAGTGCGATGTTTAATTTTCCAGTAGGATAATAAACAATAACTCAGGGAAGAGAAGTTTCCTGACGACCCAATGAGGAAACATCTGGACCGGTCTACAGCCGTATGCATTCGGGGCGTGGGTGGTTTTTTTTTCTTCTTCTTTTTCAGGAAGTAACAATAAAAATGTATGTAAGATGTCAAAATATCCAAACGCACCCTTTAAAGGGCAACACGTTGACACTGTTTTCCACCCGATCAGCAGCCGGCTCTTACCCACGTCTCCGCTCCACAGACACGGGGCTGAATGTAATCAAATTGAGACCCATACAGACTCAGTCATGCATGTGCACTTTACGAGGTCGTACCGTCGTTCACACATCAACCCAGCGCTGACAACTCCCCCCGGCCCCAGATTTGATCTGTTTGTCAGGTTACAGGCCGAGCGGGGGTGACGGTTGCTGGGATCTTTTTCCCAGATGATGAGATAAGGAAAAAAAAAAGGAGGGGAAAAAGTAGTCTGCGTCTGAGGTAAAACCGGATGGAGGTTTCTACTGGTTGACTCACTAACTAGGGCTCTGTTAATCTCAAAAACCAAGAAGAAATCGACAGAGTACGAAAAAACCCAGAAGGATTTGGTGGAAAATGCACAAAAATAAAGAAAGAAAGAAAGAAAACAAAGGTCGTAAAACCTGGGCGGAAACGTACAACATAATTACATGATACAGGAGGAGCCCAATAAGTAGACGGGATCTACTAGTAGATCGTAAAGGTATCGCAAAATAATGGTAGATCATGAGCAAACAAAAAATAATATAAAAAAAGAAAGAAATGTTTTTATATAATACATTTCTAGAACTTGATTAGCAACGATACAATGATTAAATCATTTTGTGCCACACAGCTACAGCTATTTAATCAACATTTAATCGATGAGGGATGTGAATCTTTGGGTGTCTCACGATTCGATTCCGATTCTTAGGGTCACGATTCGATTCAAAATTGATTCCTAATTCAAACGATTCCTGATTCAAAAACTGATACAGTGCATAGTGTGTGTCCATGAAGCAGATTACAGTCTCAGGTACAGTTTGTAGAAGTATGTACTGTTATATAAAATACAATTTGAACAAAAAACCCTATAATGTATATATAAATATATATTCAGCAGTATATATTAAATATTGTCAATATACAGCAGGTGGATGACTTTGGTCTGGTCGACTGAACAGTAGCTTCAACCCAACAACGTGTTGTCACCTCTGATTCAGAGCCAGTTTCTGCTGTGAAATCCTGCAGATAAACTCACAAAAGAAAAAGGACTAAAGATCCAGGTCAGGTCCATGAAAAAAAAAAAAATAAATAAACACCGACTAAAGATCCAAGAGTTTCAGTCACAACGCGTTCATGATTGAACTTTAAACAGGGAGAACACATGCCCTGCTCAAAGGCTGTGGTAGGTGATGGTGAAGTGGACATGCAACAGTTGACGTGTCCAACTGTGCGGTGGACGGTTGGACGGCTCCAACATGCTGCCCACTGTCCACACCTTTTCTTTTTTTTTCCTTCCTTCTGTTTGGATTACTGAATTTCAGGGAAATAAATCTGTGGCCTATATTTCAATTTTACAGACTGTGGAAAGATGCAGCTTAGACTCAAGATCAAGTGTGTGTGTGTGTGTGTGTGTGTGTGTGTGTGTGTGGAGCAGGCAGTGTGAATCTGTCTCCTCCTTAATATAAAAGTCAAGCCATGAACTGTGTGTGGCATTTATTAAATTAAATGATTTTAATTTTAATACGTTTTGTTGAGTTCAACTGACGGAAGCGGCTGAAGAAAGATAAGAGCCGACATCTCTGTATCGGTGACTGTGTGGCCCCTCAGCGGTGGTTAGATCTATATACGACGCAGGGGTGTCAAACATACGGGTCACGGGCCAAAACTAGGCCCACTAGGCTGTTCAGTATGGTCCACTTGATGAATTTTAAAAATTACAATGAAACGCAAACAGATATTTCTTTGTAAAATTATATTCCATTAAATACAACTAAATAATAAATATCTAATATACTTGTACTTCTTTGCAGAAAGAGGGGAAAAACATGGACTTATAGTAATATATCATTTATTATGCGGCCCATGGACCAAAATGACATTTTGTCGATTCAATTTCAAGTTTTTAAAAACCCAAAACTTACATTTGAAGATTCCCGTTCACTTGTGTCATTCGTTTTAAATCCAGTTCATGTTTCGTCTGTGTTTATCTTTATTTTTATTTTATTTTTTTATTATTTGATACTTATTCCCAATCCTGTTGCCTTATTGAAACTATGTGAAGTTCGCTTCTTTCCCAGAAACAGAAGCTGCCGAGTCGTTCTTTAAGTCTCTTGGCCAACACCGACGCGTCCACGTCCAGCTGCGGCGCTGTCCGCAGGCCAACGTGGAGGGAATCCCTGGCATTCACGTCTCTTGTAACATTCCTCAAATTGTGTGTGTTTTTTAATGTGTGCACATGTGCAGGACACACCAGAGTCCAGAGTACCATGTGGGCCCAATTAGAAGGACCGTGATGGTCCTGGACTCTTGTAGGGGGGGGGGGAGGGAGGGAGAGAGAGAGAGGGAGAGAGAGAGAGGGACAGATAGAGAGAGAGAGGGAGAGAGAGAGAGAGAGAGGGAGAGAGAGAGAGGGACAGATAGAGAGAGAGAGGGAGAGAGAGAGAGGGACAGATAGAGAGAGAGAGAGAGGGAGAGAGGATCTACCAACAGTTACAGTAGCCTCTCACTTTCAATAGAACTTTTTCTGAAGAAAAACAGCTTCAACGTTGTTAATCGTTAGTGACGAAAGAGAAGTTGAAAAAAAAACCCACCCTGACAAACGATCTGAGTCAGTTTTCAGCTACACTCCTGTTAAGATGCTGATGAAGAAATTGTTTCACGTGGCTCGTACTTGTCTACGCAGCATTCAAAAATAAAAAAACAAAAAAAACAAAAACCACATGTTCAGCCTTTGAGGGAAAACAACATATTCAGCAGCCGCAGATCAAAGATGAACAACGTGGTGAAACAAACTGTGAAACTGAAGAGCAGATGAATGTAGAAGGAAGTGGACACAATCACTGCCCCCTGCTGCTACACCTCCATACTCCATCCCCGTCTCTCCCTGAGGAACATCGTGCTGGTTTTAATGGAATCGAATTTGGAACGCTGTTCTTCTGAATGAGAATCCGCTCAGAACCAGGGTTTTTAGAATCCTTAATGAAGGAACTGGGCGGTCCGGTGAACACGCTTAATGAGCTTTTGTCTAATCGACACAACCGGAGGGACGCGCGATTGAAAAGCGGACACAGAAGAAAGGCTCTGTGAAGACTCTGGTGTGGGTCCGGTGTTTAAAGGGGCACTCCCACTGTTAGTCGGGTCTGAAAAGGACTTCTATAGGTTCTGTATCTATTCAGGGTCCGGAGCCTATGGTCGACTGGTGGAGACATAAAAAGGGAGAAGACGGAGTCGACAACAAAATCATTCATAATCTGTGTGGACAAAAATAAGAATAAACGTCCACATTTATCTAGTAACGGCAGACGATTTGGAACCAGAGTCTGTAGCGTAGCATCTAACCATAACCATAAAAGTCAGATACCGATATTTTTTAGCTGAATGGTGACACTCAATATACATTGATTTTCTTTTCCTGTGATATAATTGGGGTTTCCTCTAAAGCAGAGGTTCCCAACTTCTGGTTCAGGGACAGGGTACAGGTCCGTAGATCATTTGGTATCGGGCCGCAGTGGGACACAGTTAAAAAAAAAAGTACTTCAGTTTTACTAATTTACTTCATTCCAAAAGAATCCAGTCATATCCCTTTACTGTTTTCATTCAAAGATGATCCGTCAATGTTTCAAAACAACAGGTCAAAGGTCATCCAGTGGGGCCAATGGGCCCTGAGCCAGCTGCCTGCGTCAGTCAGTGTGTGCAGCACAAGTAAAAAGTGAAGGAGGTGGAGCCGAACCGCTGACTTCAAGACTTTAAAAAAAATCCAGTGATTTGGTAATTTTTTTATAAAGTATTATTTACACTGATTTATATCATTATTACAAACTTAATCTTTGCTCAATTTCATTCAAAGATGATCCGTCAATGTTTCAAAACAACAGGTCAAAGGTCATCCAGTGGGGCCAATGGGCCCTGAGCCAGCTGCCTGCGTCAGTCAGTGTGTGCAGCACAAGTAAAAAGTGAAGGAGGTGGAGCCGAGCCGCTGACTTCAAGACTTTAAAAAAAAAAATCCAGTGATTCGGTAATTTTTTTATAAAGTATTGTTTACACTGATTTATGTCATTATTACAAATTTAATCTTTGCTCAAATTGGATGAGACTTTTTTGTTGGTCTCAGTCAGTGTAAAAATCCAGTCTTTAACTGTGATGTAACGACAGCGACCGTCCACAGAAACTATGACTCTCAGATCCACGCTCTGTTATAACCTCGGCAGCGTTCTGAAATCTGACCACACACGCAGTCGCACTTTATCACAATTACCCCAGCACTGCACCGCGGTGCACAGCGGTGCACGTTTCCAGTGTGATAATCAGTCAAAGTGCAACAGTGGAGATTTAGGAGCCCAAACTATGTGCACCTGTAAATCACCAGCAGGCAGTTCTGCTCTCCTGACCCACAGAGCCGGGCCGCCGTGTGGACGTGCTCCGCCGCTGCGGCCGTGAAACGTCCTCGCCCGCAGCTGCCGGGCCTGCGAATGGCTCCCAGCGCTCTTCTCTGCTGCGCGGCGGCCAGAGGCAACACCCAGTGCTAACGTGCCAAGGGAGGATTTCCAGAACCAGGGGAGGATTTCCAGGGTTAAATAAACCAGTCTCCACATCTGGGCCAGCACTGAGTCCTGGTAAACACCGGGGCTGCGGCCCGGCCCACAGAGCCAGGCCCCTCACTCTCCACTTAATGATAACAGCTATGGGGTTCTGCACTGCTGCCTGTCACACTCACTTAGGATCATCACTGAGCTCCCAGTCCAGAACACCTAGTCACACAGAACCCTGTAACAGAACCCTGTTACAGAACCCTGTTACAGAACCCTGTTACCGACCCTTGTCACAGCCCTGTTACTGACCCTGTTACAGAACCTTGTAAAAGAACCATATTACTGAACCCTGTCACAGAACCTTGTAACAGACCCCTGTTACAGAACCCTGTCACAGAACCCTGTCACAGAACCCTGTCACAGAACCATGTTACTGTCCTTGTAACAGAACCTTGTTACAGAACCCTGTTTCTCTTCTCCTGCAGGGCGGTTCTGGTCCAAACCCTGTTTATAAACTCACTGTACATGAACAGTGTCTACAGTAAAATGTGCCATTTGTCAATGCACAGCTGTGAGGGCCGACTAACCT